CTAACAGCAGGTAATGCACGTTGGGAGTTCGCTGTATGGACCAGATGGGACCGCTCTGAATTTCCACTAAAATCTATATCTCTTTCGTCAGGGTTTGTAATTGGCTCTCCTCGCTTTCAGCGGGAATGGAGGTGGGAATGGGCGGATGGTGATACAATTTGACCCAATGTTATAGAAATCTCCAGGGCAGCTCTTCTATTGGGATTTGCTTCCTTGGTTCTGAGTCACTTAGGCCTGCCCCTTCCTTTTCCTAACAATCTTGCCCCCCGCCCCCTGTCCTGGACTGCGTAAAATGGGGAGACTTCTAAGCTGAAATTACTTATGTTGCTGGCTCCTGGTGCCAGGGAAGGATCTCAAGTCTTCAGTCCTCAAAGGTCACCTTTCAGGCCTCATTTCAGAACATGGGCTCTAGTCCCGAGTCCCAGCACACCTGGGCAAGCCGCGCGCCACCCCCGGCCCACTCAGACTCGGCGAAACCATCCCCGAGACCTCACACCCGCCGGAAAACACCCTCCTAGCTCGGACCCCACAAACTGGCGCATGCGCAGCACAGGCGAAGGCCGCCAGCCATCCAGAAGTCCTGGCATCTGCACAGCGGTCAGTCTCGGAAAGGCCTGGCCCCACCGTCCCCGGGAGGAAATCCCGGCAGCAGCCTACCCAGCATGACTACTCGCCGAAAAACAAGGGAAGCCGCGGTCCTGTCTCCAGCGCGTTTCCGGTTTAAATCTAACTTCCGGTTCGTCAGCCGGTTCCTGTCTCTGCCTTTCACTTCCGGTGCCTTCTGTGGCGCTGCGGCAGGTTCCTGCGTCCGCCGCCGACGGCCCCACCGCTCTCCAGGTGAGGGACTCGGGCACCCCGGCCTGCTCCCCAAAATGAAGTCCATTGCCGTAAAGTAACACACTTTATTGAAATTCTTTAGTAGAGCAGGTTGTAAACATCAGAGTAAATGAAGCGAATTTGTGGTATTCTCCTTTTACCAAACGTATTGAAGACACCTGACACCTTATGGTTTTCAGACTGTTTTTGCGTATTAAGAATTTGCCTCCCTTCTCACAGTTGGTTGTAATACATGCAGAGTACATTCACAGATTTCAATGAATAGCTTTTGGAAATAGCAATACTTTGACATTAGAAAACCCAGTTGTCTGACCCGTGTGGGGAGAACAAGCTCATGAAAACTGGTAGGCAGCTGTCTGAGGGAGGAGACCCACATGCTGTCATTGCGCATGGCAGCTGCTACCTCATCCTTGTGTGCTTGTATAATGCACCGCTGGGTTTTGTGTTTGTTGATCTTGGATGTCTGTAGGTTCAGTTCAAGAGAGACACTTGGTGCTGCAGGGAAAAAACATGAAATTTAGTCAGAAGACCCGTTGTTACCAGCTATATACCCATGAGCAGATTACTTAACCTCTCTGAACTCCCGTTTCCTTTTATTGTAAAAGTGGGACAGTTCTTATCAAACAATCTTGTTAAATGAGATAGTCTCCATAAAAACTGTCCAATGTATTAAATATGAAACAAATAATGGCCGTTTACTATATATTTAGCACAGTGCCTGGAACACTTGAGTTACACTTTTTTAAAAAAGTTGCCCAGCCAATACTTATATAATGCTTACTTTGTGCAGGTACTGTATGACATAAATATGAACTAACTAAATCTTCATTAAAAACCCTAAGGTGTAGGTAGTATTATCATCTCTGTTTTGCAGACGAGGAAGCCTATGCACTAAGATTCAAGTAACCTCTTGTAGTCAAATAGTTAATAAGTGG